ATTCAAGAGATAACTTGCCTGGATGTTGATTGAGATTGCACTGAATCTGTAGATCAAGTTGGGGCATCTTTACAATATTGAGCCTTTCTACCCATAAACATAGAAAATCTCTCCATTGATTTTATTCTTCTTTGGTTTCTTTTATCAAAGTTTGATAATTTTCTTCATTTAGATCTTATACATACCTTGTTATATTTATACCTAAGCATTTCATTTTTATGGATGCTAATGTAAATGGTACTATGTTTTTTAATTTCAAATTCCACTTGTCCATTGCTATTATACAGGAAAGCAATGCTTTTAAATGTACTTTTGTATAACCTTGTATCCTGCGACTTTTCTATAATTGCCTATTAGTTCCGAGAGTTTTTTTGTTGATTCTTTCAGATTTTCTACATAGACAATCATGTCATCTGTGAACAGTTTTATTTCTTTCTTCTCAATCCATATCCTTTTTATTTTCTTTTCTTGTTTCATTGCATTAACTAACACTTCCATTACAATGTTGAAAAGCTGTGATTTTCTTTGCTTCCTTCTTTGTTCCTGATCTTAGTGGGCAAGCTTCAAGTTTCTTACCAGTAGGTTTGAAGTTAACTGTAGATTTTACATAGATATTATTTATGCAGTTGAGGAAGTTTTCCTCCATTCTTGGTTTACTGAGAGTTTCTGTATGAGTGGGTGTTCAATTTTGTCAAAAGTTCTTTACACATTAGTCATGTGATTATGTAATTTTTTTCCTTTAGCCAATTGATGTAATAGATTCCATTGTTTTTTTTAGTATTGAGCCAGCATTTCACACGTGGGATAAATCCCACTTGGTCATGGTGTATAATCTTTTCATACATTGTTAGATTCACCTTGCTAATATTTTGTAGAGAACTTTTGCTTCTGTGTTAATGAGAGATATTAACTTTTGTTTTCCTGTGATGTCTCTGTCTGGTTTTGGTATTGGAGTAATGCTGGCTTTATAGAATGAGTTAGAAAGCATTTCCTTTGCTTCCATCTTTGGAAAGAGATTGTAGGAAATTGGTATAATTTCTTAAGTATTTTGTAGAATTTATCACTTGAACCTATCTGGGCCCAGTGCTTTTTGTTTTTGAAGGTTATTAGTTAATAATTCAATTTCTTTAATAGATATAAGCATATTCATATTATCTATTAATTTTTGTGTGAGTTTTGAACAATATGTGTCTTTCAAGAAATTGGTCCATTTCATCTATGTTAGCAAATTTATAGACATAAAGTTATTTATAATATTCCTTTATTATCCTTTTAATGTCCAAGAGATGTTTGGTTTTTAAGAGTCTGAATAGTTAACCACTAAATAGTCCCAGGAGAAATATTTTAGAACATATTATCTTTGTTATTATAGAGTCAGAAAGAAAATTGTTGCATGTATTTTTAAAATTATCTTTAAAATTCAGTTTTCTAAAGTTTTGAAAGTTGTTTATCCATTAACTACAAGATCCGTAGTATATCAGTTATGAGCCGATACTGGAAACCACATGGTGAATTGGTTCACTGATACAGCAGACTTGCACCAGCAAGCAAAGCCAACTTCAGAGCAATTTGTGGGGAACTGGAAATGAGGAGTAATGTGATCCTAAAGAAGAATGATCTGTAAAGGGGAGGTAAATGGCATTCACAGAGGTAGAATAAATACTTTTCAGTCCACCAAACTCTGGATACTCAGATACTTCACAGTTCATCCTGGTAACAGAGATAGTTTGTGAGGGTTTAGTAAGAGCTCAGTAATTAAAATGTAAAAAGAAAGTATTTCTGGCATTAAAAAATCTACAGATTAGTCGAAACATTAATCTTTGTCTATATAATGAGGTAAAATTTTGATAGAAGCTGATGAAACAACACAGAGGTTCTCATTATCATGGTATCAATCTGCATGTCCCAGAAGTGACAAAGCTTTCTTAGGGAAGTAAAAATTGTCATGACATACAAATATTCTTGAGTGAACTAACCACTTATAGACTTAATTTCCCCTTAAACATCCCACCCTGCTTAAGACTACTACCTTCATCCATTGTACTGACATCTTACTTGCTCACCGATTTTCTGATTATAGTAAGCATTATTCAAACTCAGTGTGAAATGATTTTGAGAAAGATGCAGTAGGCTTCATAAAGTTAATAAAAGTGGTGTTGGGGAACTGCCTGAAGGAAATGTGAAATCCCATTGACAAGTGGGCCTAGTAAAGTTAGAACAACTGAAAAGTGAATAATAAATGAGGAAAACGACAACAGATTCATTAGCTAAGAATTTGTACAGTAAGAACTACAAGGGACCCTTGGGAAAATTGGTGGAACCTTTGGATATGCTACTAATTTGTTCCATTATTATCATTCATTACTATTATTCCCTGAATTGAAAAGTTAAGATATCTAGTTAGCATTCTTTATTCTTTTGGAAAATAATACCGAGAAAAACACTTGACACTTAATTCATTCTTTGTAAAATTAGTACACATTTATGATTATAACTAAATTTTGGTTAAATATGAGATAAAATATTTCTGTAAGTTTGCTTTATTTTTCAAAGTGAAGTCCTAAATAAATCTCTTTTTTCTCTGCTTACTATGAAATATTGGTCAGGATTATAAAAGGATTCATTTTATGGGATTTTTCTCTCTATAATAGGCAACGCTTAGATGAAGACTGTCTATAATTCTATTTTGCCCAATGAGCATTCCTGCCACTTTAGATAGCAGCTTGTGAAGTCAGATTGATTGCTGTAAGAGAAGGAGACCAGAGCACAACAATGTCAATCTCACATTCTTTTTTCCCCCCTAAACGTACCTTTGAAAACCTAGAGAGAATAAATTGAGAAAGCCTCACTTTTGAGGACTGTTCCAAAATGAAAATGTATTCTGTAAAAGTAGATTTTTGGAAGCATTTGTAATGATGTAATAGCTAGATATACCCTAGAAATAAAGATTCAGTGAATTGAGGGGGAAAAAGAAAAGTCAGAGGGGAATAATTTGTGTTTTCTAAGATGGGGTTCTGTGACTTAAATTCCCAAGATTGTCCTGGGCATGAGATGGGGAGACAATCAAATGCCCATAGAATTTGGAGATTTATGGGCAAAAGGGACCTTCCAGAGGGACCCATGAAAACCTTCAAAACCCTGTGTCATACTGGTACAGCGAGTCATCAGAAGTGCAAAAATGGAACCCTTGAACTTTTCCTTCAACTAGGTGCTTTCGCTGAAATGCTTTCATGTGTAGCCTGGGGACTAGACATGAATGCAGAAACCAAAACTGATGGTGGCCCGAAGAGATAATCAGAAGGTCCAAAAGGACCAAACATCTTAGAAGACTGCAGCATGGACAAAGCTCCATCTGTAACATGACACCTGTCTTTAATGTCTTATCAGGCAAATACTTCT